CACCCAAGATCTCTCCTCCCTCCTGCCTGTAGACAGACAGCTGTCATCCTTGAAGATGTGGCCCATTGTTTTCTTTGGGACTCAGTGATTTCTCTCATGGCCCTGAGGCGCATTTCTCATATCAAAAGTAATACTTTTGGCAAGCTTCGAGCTCAGGCAGCCGCTGTGATATTAACTTTAAAGAATTGAAGCAGCGCAGTTCCCTCGTGCTGCAAAGGTAGTATCTGCACAACAATGAGTGTTGTGATTGACAAATTCACAATTACCTTTGTTATGTAGATAATTAAGCGGTAAATTAGGCAAATAACGCGAAAGGGAGAAGATTAAGACCAATCTGCGAGGTAGAACATGCCCTGATTTTTAGGAGCATTTACCTTCGTGCGCATGTTACGACAAGCAGCAGCTCTCGTTGATCATTTCTATGAAAAACATTTATAATGCACTTTAAAAATAATTGACAGCTCCTCTTTTGTCTGCGCTTCATGCTAGCTAATGGAAATTGATTTAAATAAAAAATAATTTACATGTTCTTCTAAGATTTCATTGAATTTACAAGGGCTGGAGCACACCACATTAATTATTGCTGTGTCACTGTGGCAAGCTAGCGAGAAATTAGATATAAAAGCTGAGCAAAAACTAGGTATAATTACCATTAAAATGACTCGGGCATGAAAATTAATCAAATGGATTTGGAAAAACATTATTATTCCTGTCAACAATAGGAGACCAGGTCTTTTGTTAAGAACTTTTATTTTGATTTCTGCTTGCACTCATTCCGTTCTTAACTCGCTTTTGTTCTGCAGCATGAGTATTCCTTTTCGTACTTCCAGATGTGTTTACAAGGGTAGTCACATGGGATTGCTTGAATTACAAGGGATGTAATCCATCCTTTCCTGCTTTGGTTTTGGGGGCTGCCAAGCTCAGATAGATACTGCAGATCATCTTGGGTGCTCGTGTTGGGCTCCTGTCGTTACGTCAGGGTGTTGAAGCTATAGGGAAGAGTCCGAGGAGGTCGCTGTGTGCAACTTGGCCTCTGCAAGCTTTCCGCTTGTTCATGGAGACGAGGATAAGGTTGTGCATAGGTTACCTGGGCTCAGCTTGCAACTTCTTCCTCCAGCATCACCTAAACACTCTAGGGCTTGGTACCTCACCTATGCTACGGGATTACTTTTCATCCCCTCCTACCTGATTCGCCTATTTTTGCATGCATTCTGGCAAAATTTATCATCATCCGGCTCTATATTCTATCTATATATTACTATTGTTCCCGTTTTTTAAATAAATTGCTAACAAGCTTGTGCAATTTTTCCCCAGGCAAGCCAGTAATGATAGTGACTGAATACATGGAGAACGGTTCTCTGGATACATTTTTAAAGGTAATACTTTAGATCCTTTTTCCAGGGGACCTTGGTTAAAGTTTGGATTCTTTGCAGATGGTTAATATGAAGGAAAATGTTTGCTGAGTGCTGGTCCAGCTGTTGATGCTGTCTGGAGGCAGGAGTAGCTCAGTTATCTGTTTGATCTATATTTATACAGCATCATGAAGGACCTGGTTTGTGCACTGATACAAACAGATAAGAATAAATTGGAGGCTATTATGTTTATTTGAGAAGGCAATCTGCTACATGGAAGTGATTAACTTACCCTGCAAAATCCAGTGTGTTTCGAGAGCACATCCACACTGCGTCATGGCAAAGCCAAGGCTTGTCAGAGAGTTTCCGTGAAGCGTAAGAACTAGAGAAGGGAGGATAAGGGAAAGTGGTTAGAAATGCGGTGTGGCAACACGGGGAAGAGCCCCTAACCCCAAATATTGACACATCGACCTCCGCAGGTCAGGTTTCCATGCAGCTTGGTGCCGTTCAGTTGGCTGACTCAGAGACAGCCCACCCCAGTGCCTTTACACACATAACTGCAAGTGTTCACTCCCAGTCACGGTCTCTTTATCAGTCACCAGCGAAAATAGCTCGCTCCTTGATCTCCAGTTAAAAGAACTACATTTCCTTAGCTTTGTCTCCAGAGAGTCTAATCCAAACAGTGAAACTTTGAAAAGCTTCATGGTCAGAGCATGAGAGTAATGAATTATTAATTTCCCTGGTTTTCTTCCCTGGAGATTTGCCTTTGCATTTTTATTCACGCGCACGCAGTGCTGAGGGTGCAGAGACTCTGGGCTGATCAAACGTCTCCTTCCTCTTGCAGAAGAACGATGGGCAGTTCACGGTCATTCAGCTGGTCGGGATGCTGCGAGGCATCGCGTCAGGAATGAAGTACCTGTCTGACATGGGTTACGTACACAGAGATCTGGCCGCCAGGAATATCCTAATCAACAGCAACTTAGTCTGCAAGGTGTCAGACTTTGGCCTCTCCAGAGTCCTAGAAGATGACCCCGAAGCGGCATACACAACCAGGGTGAGTTATGAGGATACCCAATGGATTTGTGCTGAAGAAAAATGTCTTTCCTGCCACATTTTGGTATTCAGGCTCTCTAGTGAAGAGGTTTCTACAAATCCAGAGCCTCTAAACTGTGCACGAAGGTTTGGCCAGGTGTTAACTGGTTAATTTTACAAAATCTTGGTAGTGGGGTTGGCCAAATAAGGCCAAACTTAAGGAATATGTTGGGCACCTGAGTCCAAAGGTGCCATGCTCCCAGCTCTGTTCTGTCCTGTTTGGTGAGTACCAAAGGGAGGAAAGAGCAAGAGCAAGTGCTTTGCTTAGGCACCCATGCATGTCTGGAAGTAGGACTAGCTCCACGCAAGCCACGGTCCTCTGGACAATTTGACCCTTTAAAAACAATGATAACTGTATAATGCCCATTGCAAACGAAGCGTGTTGCCATCAACATTACCCTGTTGAGGGTAGTTTCCCCCAGCCTGATAAAAAGCTGCTCCAGCCTCAGTGTCTGCCCCTTTCCACCCTTGATCCATCCTTTCAGGGCATCAGCCTGCCCATCCCAGCGCAAGGCCATGCCCAGCACCGTGGAGAGGGGATGGACAGGACCCATCATCCCCAGCAGCACAGGCTTGGAGAGAATCTCCAGTATTATGGCAGCGATTGGCACAGCTGGGCATGTCCTATTGGCGTGTTTTTCCAAAGGCATTGTTTTATGGGTGGTGGGAGCTCTCTGGGTCACATTCCCAGTTCCCGCGGAGATCTGGGAAAGGCCATTCAGCTCTTGGCAGTCACGGCCCCACGACGGGGCTCGGTGCACGGCTGGAGCGGGGCCTCCCTGCAGGTTGGAGGGCTCTTGGCCAGCCCTGCTGCGGCTGCAACGTGCTGCCATGCCCTAATTGGCACTGCAGGGCATCTGGCCCCTCACTTAAGGCATGTGCCGATAAGCCTGTGAATAAATAATTATCGGACGAAGGGACGTTTTTAAAATTTGCTTTGAAAATATGTTCCAAAATCTACCTTTTTCCAATAACGAAGAGTTAGGGGGCATTCAGGGAGACCTTCCAATATTTAGCTCACCACCGAGAGGAAGGGACTTCACAGTAAAATATACTTTGATATAAATCAAGGGAGACAACTCTTTAAACCCAATGAAAAAAGCATTTCTTAATCCAAGTTCCCCTTTCCCTCCCCTCTTCCTTCTCAGAGCTGGTCTGAAGTTTGATTTCTGAAATGGTAGAGAGGGGAAAAGGAGACAGCAGAGCGCATTTGACAGCTGTGGCATCATTTGCAGTCCCACAGCAGAGCCCAGGCAGGCTGGTCTTTGCACACACCGATTTCTGTGCCCGCTACTGCAGGATCGGGACCGCATTAAAAAAAAAATAAAGAAGGGGAAAAAAAGACATTACTTCCGCAGCAATTTGCATGAAGCCCTCGTTAGATCAAAGTCTTGCTCGGCTTCAGAGCTGTCTGTTCCTCCCCCGCTCGCTCTCAGAAAGCAGGAGCTGTATTCCCCTACCAACCCGTGCAACATAATTGAGATGTTGATCCTATACATGTCCCAGCATTCAAACGGCATTCAAACAACAAACCTTCAGGACAGCCAATTAGTAGGCAGCCTACAAATGCTTATGGGCTGAGATAATGTGGAAAGGGGCCCCATGCTGTCAAACAGATTTACTTTAAAATTCGATGTCTCTTTCCAGAGAGAAAATAACATCCCTCGGTGCTCTAAGAAGTGCTGTTTTGTCCTCTTTCACATGTTTTCTGCCCTCCTCTGCAATCTGTTTTTTGGGGTTTTTTTTCTCCTTGTCTTTTCCTTCCAGGGAGGGAAGATCCCCATCCGATGGACAGCACCCGAAGCCATCGCCTTCCGTAAATTCACGTCGGCCAGCGACGTCTGGAGCTACGGCATTGTGATGTGGGAGGTGATGTCCTACGGCGAGAGGCCTTACTGGGAAATGACAAACCAAGATGTAAGCACGTGCGAGAGCTGCCGTGTGGTGGGACCTGGGAGGGCTCGGCGTTCATTCTGCGATCGGAGAGGGAGGATGGGGAGAAGAGGAGGAGACCCGCTGTAAAAATGGCTTTGCACCCCCGTGCCAGACAACACTGATTCTCCCATCTGATGCTCTTTTTTTTGCAGCAGCCCAGAACAGGCTGTGCACAGAGGGAAATGTGTCTGCACAGAGGCAAGCCTGCTTCCCCAGCAGACCGCTGGAGCTTCACTAATGCTGTTAGAGCTGGAGCCCGTCCCTCCTCCGCTTAATGACAAAGGTCTGCCAGGGGATAGATGCTGATAACTGGCAGCATTTCAATTGTGTGTTCAAACCCCTGCTGCCACGTAAAGCAGAAACTCAAGAGAGTCGTGGCAGAGGCTTTGTCTCCCTGCACAAAAGCGGTGTGATTTGATCGAGTGACAGTGGTCCGGAGAACTGCGTCTCGGTTGCCCTTGCATTGCTGACCTCAAGAGCACAGTTTTGCTGCTGTTGTGCACATCTTTTAAGTCCGTGCTAACACAAGCTCTTGTGGTTTGTTTGTATAGCACCCTTAGAGTTGTGTGCCCTTGCCTCTGGCCTTAAGTGCCTCTGACCTCAAGGCCACCCTCCAAAGCATATCCAAACAGGGAGATGCCTGGGGACACCCCTCCTCCTGACTGAAGCTCTGATCCCAGGACTACCTCCTACCCTGAACTCACCATAAACATCTGCCCTTGTCTAAGGCTAAAAAAATTTAAGCCTGGGGTTGCTAGATTTTCTGGGGCTCTTCCTTCCTCCTCGCATCTCCGAGAACCACGACGTGTGGAGGGCTCTGAGGAGGCCAGCTAGTGCACAAGGTCGGGGTCCCCAGGGGGCACACAGGGTCCTCAGAGCAGCTGTGCAATGCAGGAAGAAACACACCTTTTTTTTCAAGCATCATCCCCATCGCTTTCTGCCGTTTTACCAGCAGCAAAGGCTCTGGCTGAGCCCTTTGTTTCTCCCGTGTTCTGTCCGTGGGCCTTTGCCATCAGCGGATGTTCCTACCTGTCATGCCTGGCTGCGGTCTCATTCCGCTTTGAGTCCGGGCGTGAAAACGAGCGGGACCTTTGCGACGGTCACACCGTGCTCCTTGCCAGGGAGACGAGCGCGTTGTTTGGCATGAGTGCCCCGCCGCTTCTGCAGTGCTGAGGCTGTCACGTTTGCAGGGAATTTGGTAAGGCAGCGTGTATCTACACAGGGATTTATCTCAATCAGACACAGAGACTCTTCCACAGCCTGTGCGGAGAATGCAGCAATTGAGCTTTTTCGGTCCCACTGAGCACTGTAACTGTCTTTAATGCTGACGCACTGGCGGAGCACAGATGCTGTTCAATAAATGCCAGGCTGAGATTCAGACTGGTGCCAGTGAAATAACGCTCCGTGGCCAGGGGAGTCCCTTGTCTGGATCATAACGCTATAAACATCCACAGGGTGCAGAACTGTTCCAAAAAACCCAAATGCTTCTGTGCACTTTGGGGCACGGGGTGAATTTCACACTTACCTGGGAAGAAGTGGATGGGGGGCTGGTTTAGCAGAAAGCAGAGGACTGGTGAGATGTTTGTGAGCATCAGTTCCTGCTCAGGCTTTGCTTGGGTTACTTCTCTGCCTGTGTGTAGGTGGCAAGTGCCTGGATAGTGGTAGCTTAGGAGATTTAATTCAGTGCTGTGGCAGAGAAATGTTTCTCATGCAATTTATGCCTTCCTTCTCCATCTTCTGAAGGCCTCCTCTTCTTCTTTCCTCCTCTCCTTGTGCTGGCAGAAGAATCGGCGGTGTAGATACAGCGTTGGCTTTCATGCGGAGGACCACGGGGCTCTGTTCACATGAATTTCAGACTCGGTTGCACATGAATTTCTCGTTGCGTGGCTTGTAATTAAAGCACATCGTTTGCAAGCACAGCCAGCAGTGAGCTGACTGGTTCTCACGATGCTGCAACCGGCTCGCTCTAAAGGAGGTGCAGTGCTGCAGGCAGCCTTGTAATGTCGAAGGCTACGAGCCGCGTTTTGAAGTCGTGCTGGTTTCTGAATGGCCTTCTAAAAATACGCTTTTGCTCGACCGCAAGATAAGGCTTTGATGCAGGAATTGTTGAGAGGAGTTTTGTGGCCTGTGTTACACAGGTTGATAAACCTAAATGATCACAGTGGTTGCTTTTTAGTCGGCAGGCTGGTGGCTTTAAGAGCTAAAAGTGCTGCTTTGGTTTACTGGAATAGACTGTCCCAATCATCGTCTCCCAAACATCCAGTTCAGTCACCCCAATCCATGAGTAGTGCTTGTCCGGAAAGGGAACAGGGACCAAAATGCCTCCTTGTAGGTGCAAATTTTAGCTCTTCAAGTCTTAAAAAGCAGTACACACCAATGAATGGAACAGCACGTGTGCCGTTTCCTTAGTTTTTTAAGTATTGTGGGGGCTACAGGTGACTTGCTCTTCGTTGTTTCATTCTCTTGCTCCTCTTATTGCCAGACCCCCAGGGCACCTTCAGATGCAAGGGTGTATCTCGGCGTCCTGCCTCCTCGTGGTATTTTGATACCGTATACTTTGTATCGCCGGAACGAACGACATCCTGTAAATTGAGTTAACGCTATTGATTGTGATGTTACTGCCAGGAATATCAAACATGCATAACCCTGCTGCAGATGTAGTTCAGATATTCTGAGCTGGTGCCAGATGGTCTGCTCCCTGTCTTGCTACTATTTTCTTTCTGCTACAGCTGGAGGATGATCCGTTATTGTTATAAATACAGACACGGACATGGCAAATAATGTTCTCGTGGCCGTGCCACACTGAGGGTTTTTTTTTATAGGGCAGCTGCAAATTTGGTGTCAAGGACCAGCTGAAGAGCATGAGGTGAAGAACAGTGTGGATAGCATAGCGTGGTGGGCCTTTCTTTTTGATGCTGTGAGGAAAAACCAGGCTGTAGAAGAGATTGCTCTGCAGGTGCAGGCTGGGTGGAGAGCTGTGCAACTGCCCCGCCGGCACAAGAAATACTAGATGGGCGCAAAAGGATGGCAGATCTTGTGGGCTGGATCTTCAGATGTGCTCGCTACCCTTGGAGAAGATTGCAGAGCCTCGCCTAACTTCTTCACTACATCCTTAGGGAGTTTGAGGTTCCCGCTACTGCTGCTCAGCCAGCCCAGCTCATTCCTGGGGCTCTTCCACATGGCAAAAAGTCCTGAGGTGGAGGACGATTTGAAAGCGATCCAGGCGGTCCTAAATTTTGGAGCCTTCTGAAATGCAATGCCAGTCTGACACGGCTCTTCCCATACTGTTCATATAAGGATTAAAGATGAAGAAAACAACTTCCAGGCTAACCGCAGAGCCTTGATTTTAAACACACGATGTTTTCAGATCCTGAGATGGTGCCTAGAATGAACGGTATCTGAGGCAGTCCTTGGAGTCCAACAGCGAAGCGCTGTGGTTTTCCGCGTAGCAAATAGCTGCTTCCAGCTCCTTTTGGTCAAGGAGTCTTGGGAGCAGAGGGTGTGAAGATGGGCCGTCCAGACTGTCTTGGCATGGTCACAGACCCTTGTGGCTTGAAATGCGAGCTGCATTCTCCTGAAAATTTTAATGATTCAAAATGGGAACTGCTGGGCTTGGAGCCCTGCTGTAAATCTGCCCCAAACTGGGGAAAACAAGTTGCTTTCTTCAATTCTGCCCTCATTTAGTCATTTCTGCCTTTCAAGAGGGCCGGCAGCACATGTGCGTGCCACTTGTTTTAGATACAGAACCATAGATGGTTTGTATTTGAAATCGATGCAAAAACCCTCCCCTGGTTTTAATTTACATACTCCTGGGCTGACATTTTAAATTCCTGGCAGAAATGTGGCCACACTAAGAAACGCCGAGACCCAGACAGTATTGAATGATATATGAGATGGTTGTTCTGCCTCTGCCTTGAATCCATCCATCAATTAGCATTCAAAGTCTCTTTTGAAATACAGTCAGACTTTTATTACTGTAATACAAATTTGTGGTCTAGCACATGCCTTTTCATTTAAAAAGCAGCCAACATCTGAATAAACAAAATCACTGTACTCCAAGAAGATGCCAGGAATCCCCATAGGCTGCTCTCTGTGGACTTGGATTAGGCACCAGGGGTTTCCTGGTATGTAACCTACAGACCTCGGTTGAGCTTTGACCGAGCACAGCCTGAGATCTGGCTCCCTGGATGCACCAGTGCCTTGGCTTTCTAGATTCGTTTCGCAGTGACCAAAAATAGAGTTATTCGACCCATCCCATAGAAAATATGAAAATGAGTGGGGTTTACGGGGTTTGCCTCTTGTGTGCAGGGTTGGGGAGCAGTGGGGTTTTGCGTGAGCCTGTTTCTGGTCTCGAAGTTCTCTGTTTTAAGTCGATTTGCATTTAGGAAGAAAGCAACCCATCAGCCCGGTGTTTTGTCTCCCGTAGGTGATTAAAGCCGTGGAGGAAGGCTATCGCCTGCCAAGTCCCATGGACTGCCCTGCTGCTCTCTACCAGCTAATGCTCGACTGCTGGCAGAAAGACCGCAACAGCAGGCCCAAGTTTGACGAAATTGTCAGCATGTTGGACAAGCTCATCCGTAACCCAAGCAGCTTGAAGACGTTGGTTAATGCATCGAGCAGGTACGAACTCGGGCCAGAGCCGTTTCTCAGAGCCAGATTCTTGCCTGAAGTCCCGCCCCTGGGGTTGAATTACCACTTACTATTTAGCCTGCGCTCGTCTGCGGGTGGATGTTCCTCCAGCTTCACTATGTCCAGGGGAGTTTTCCCAAATCAGCTATTTCTGTCGAAACTGGCAGGCAGGTGAGGAATTCAGTTACTCTATAAATGCAGTGCTGCTGCCACAAAGAAAATGACTGTGGCCTGTCTTTCAGAAACGGGAGTTTCGTCGGTATTTATAGTCCATGATAAAGCTACTCATGCTCTACCCCAGGGTTAGAGAGGGCAAGACTTGAGTGCATGGAGTAGATAGTAAATCCTGCTCAAATTATCTGCCTGTTGACTTCATCTCGGTAATACAGATGAAGACCGTTCTCTTGGGAAGACTCTTAGGCTGTGCCAAGCCCATGGATGTCCAAGTGCATCCTCCCCCAGCTGTTCCCAGGTGTGGTAGGCACCACCACCCGTTCCGACAGTCTTGGTAATCGCGAGAGGATCTCTGTGGTTCCCCAAGAGCCGTACACAAACCATTTGCTAAAACCACATGAAGTGAGTAGAACAGCCGGTGTGCAATTCAACATGAATCTGAATAGCTGCATGGCTGCAAGTAAGGTAAATACGGTCAAGAAATAAAACTGCACTTGGAGGAAGAGAGATTAATGTATTTTTTTAGAGATTAATAACTTTTTAATGAGTTTTAGTATTGGGGTGTCCACCATACTGGAGTCTTGGAGAGGCTTTTTCTTTTTTCGCTGTAAGCGCACAAGTATTACTTCTGAGCCATCTGTGTTGCTAATCACTCGATCCCTTGCAAGGTCATGGAGGAGTGATGAATATAAATCATCGCTGCTTCACTGATGGCAGTGGAATTCCCCTGATTAACACTGGAAGAGGCCCTTCAGAAAAGCTTATTCTCGGAGGAGGAAAGCAGACGTGTAATTTTCCTTGGACAGGAATGAAAGGGATGTAAGGTGAGGTTAGAGTGGTGGTGTGGGCCGAAGCAGATGTACTGTTGTGAGCTTAGACCCACCCGTCTCCGCACCTTCCAAGCAAGTCAAACTGCAGGAAAAGGTTTATGATAACGCAAAATACACCGTTCCTCTTTTATTTTCAGATCAGAACAGTCATTTTCCAGTCCTGTTACGCAGTGGGTTCGTGTACTCTTTTATACCAAACTGTTACGCCAGAAAAGAGTAAAATAGGCAGCAAACCATTTCCTTGAGCTGCTAAGCACTTTGCTGGTGTTTTATTCCCTGATCGTATCCCTGAGCTTGTGTGGGCATTGTCGGTGTGGATGGAGCACCTGAACAGCCAGGCTTTGGGACTGTGTTTCTATCATCATAGATTGCCATGCCCAGACCATAGTAATTCCAAATGAATCATAATTTCAACATACAGCAGCTGTAAAGGATTTTTTTTATATGTGTAATGTATTCTTTATGGAAATTCTCATTAATGCAAATAAGGGAGGAAGTCACTCTCTACATTACAGCGTGTGCATATCAGTAGGTACCTCCTGACATTAGTGATGAAAATCCACTTCTCGTTATGATTACTTAGGAGCTTTGAATTCCTCATGTGTATAAAATGTTATGGGAAGCCATTATGCTCTTGGTACTGCAAGTATTCACATTTTATTGGACCCTTCAGCATTGCTATTAAATAAACAAATAATACTAATGTGCTCATAAAATATATGAAGATTCCTGAAGTGCTATAATAATATAATATCCCAGCTCTCCTTCCAGTTGAAAGTCTTTTAAGTGTAATTCTCACCGTCAGAGGCTGACCCAGAAAACCATTTTTTTTTAACCTGTGGGTAATAATCTTTATGCAAGGCTTATGTTAGCCGTATGTCCTGGTTTACAAAGCAGGGGACGAATCCAGTTTCTTTCCTGGCTGACCTTGGACAAGCCCCCTTTGCTTTCTGCGCATCATTAGTAGGGTGGTGGACCTGTACGTGGCACGGGTCGCTTGTGCCAGGTACTGTATCGGTGTTTCTGCAGCGGTGAAGGGTTATTATTTGCCTGAATTGCTTCTTCCGTGCGTGGCATAACGGAGCAGGCAGCGATTGCGGCGGTGAGGTCTTGAGTGAGGGAGCAGGATTTTACCTCTGGTTTCAGGGCTGGGAGCGTGGCTGGAGCGTTGCTGCTCTCTGCAGGGCTCGCTGGATGCTGCCCGCATCCCAGATCCCCACCCGACTCCGCGGGATCAGCCCCTGAAGTGTTAACGGCAACCTGGCAGCGATGGCCGCTGCTGGGAAATGTAATTTGGGTTTGGCTTCCGTGCTCTGGGCTGTCTTAATTATGAACTTTAAGGGAGGAGGAGGAAAACAGAGCGGGAGGAGCGAAAGTGAAGAAAGGAAGAGGGAGCTGGGGGAGCCTGATGGAAGAGAAGTCTGCTTGTGGGCGAGAGGTAACGGGGATGGACGCTAGTCCTCTCCTCCTCTTTCTGCTTGCAGTGAGGACCAGAAATGGCAGGAACTAACTCAAAAGGGAGTGAAGTTACAGGTCAAGTGGTACATTTGATACATCGCATATCAAGTCTGCTGGGAGGATTTAGGCTGCAGCAATCATAGAATCATAGAGTTGTTCGGGTTGGAAAAGACCTTTAAGTTCATCCAGTCCAACCATTAACCCAGCACTGCCAAGTCTACCCTAAAGCATGTCCCTGAGCACCACATCAACTCGTCTCTTAAGTCCTTCCAGGCATGGTGACTCTACCACCTCCCTGGGCAGCCTGTTCCAATGCCTGACAGCCCCTTCCATGAAGAAATTTTCCCTAATATCCTACCTAAACCTCCCCTGATGCAACTTCAGGCCGTTTGTTCTTGTCCTGTCACTTGGGAGAAGAGACCGATCTCCCCCCTCCCGCACCCTCATTTCAGAGGGTTGTACAGAGATATCAGGTCTCCCCTGAGCCTCCTCTTCTCCAGGCTGAACACCCCCAGCTCCCTCAGCCGCTCCTCACAGGAATTGTGCTCCAGACCCTTCCCCAGCTCCGTTCCCTTCTCTGGACACACTCCAGCCCCTCAGTGTCTTTCTTGCAGTGAGGGGCCCAAAACTGAACATGGGATTTGAGGTGCAGTCTCACCAGTGCCCAGTACAGAGGGACAATCCCTGCCCTGGTCCTGCTGGCCACAGAATTACTGAAAACACAACAAATCATCTTTACTTTGTAAAAATGTGAGCAACTGAGCCACATTGGGTGCATCTCGATACTGATCCTGTTTCCTTCCTGTTTTTGCTTGTCCTCAGAGTATCAAATCTGTTGGTAGAGCACAGTCCAGTCGGGAGTGGTGCCTACAGGTCGGTGGGTGAGTGGCTGGAAGCCATCAAAATGGGCCGATACACGGAGATCTTCATGGAGAACGGATACAGTTCAATGGATGCTGTGGCTCAGGTGACCCTAGAGTGAGTAATGCCCAGATAATTTTCACCTCATTTGTTGGAATTTCAGGGGGCGGGGACGACACACCAAACCATTCAAAAATATTTAGGGATGAGGCTGCAGAGGGGAAATCATGACCCTTTGTTTGCAGTCAGCAGTTTCTCTTTTAGCATCTGTATTGATGATAACGAGCAGAGGCAAGACTAAAATTTATGGTCGCTACATTGGCAGCCGGTACTTTGGCTCCTTTAGTCACAGAAATTAATGCTTGAGTTTGAATAATTGCCTGGCCATCCTCTCGACATAAAAGCAGTCGATTATTTGGGGTTACTGACACATAAAAAAACACTCACCCTAGTAGTAAATGTGTAGGAGCGAGAGTCTCCGCTGAGTTATACAGGTTTTACACCGGATGAGCTGGTTTCAGAGTTGATCTGGACCTAACCGAGTGGACAGTCGAGCCCAGTAAGGTGTGGAAATAGCATTCAGCATTAACAGAACTAAGTGTAGATACAGTCGATGCCTCCAGAAAAGCATCAGCAAACGCACAGCTCTAGGGCACAGGCTCCCTGGCCGAGACTCTTCCTCCTGAATGTGCCCTTGGTTTTTGCACGTTGCGGGTATGGCTGCAGCTGGGGTGACAGCACTCAAGTGACTTGGTAAATGCCTCAGGGCTGCTGATTTGTAATGCTCCACCTTTAATTCCCTGCCTTGCTTGTGTAATTACGTCTGTACTGTCCTCCTGCCGCTTACTCAAGCTGGCCCCAAAGCCTGCCTTTCTCGCTGGGTTAATTTGAGCTTAGTTTACTGCAGGCGTTAAGGCAGAATGGGAAGAATTACGCTCTGTGCTGTTTTGGTGAAGGTCGTGGCTCCTCTGGCCACAGGCAGATTGGCAGCGCACATACAGAATCAGTGACGAGGGTTAGGAATACGAGGGAACTCCCCCCACCCCGCAGCATTTCTCCGCAGGGCTTGCCGTGGAGCTCACCGTACAGGGTGGGAGGTCCTTTGCACATGATGCAGGTGGGTAACATCTCCGTGGAGTTGTTTTTGTTAGGTGCGTGGAGGGAGTGCAGGAGCGTATCTGCCCTCGCTCAGATTTTATTTGCTCCACCAGTATTTGTCCCTTACACCGGGACTCATGCAGTCTGTCTTCAGGCACTCACATGAAACCCTGAGATAGGGGTTAGATCCTCTCTAGCCGTTGTCTAGGGAGCCAGGGTGCATGGATTTCTGCCTAGATCCCTGTTTGGGTGCCTGAGGCTCCTACGTGTGGTTTCCCATCCTAGTCTTGCAACTACATGCCGTGTTACTTTGGCTTTTGAGGACTCCACGGTTCCTTACTTGTCTGATATGGCAGTGCCCAGAAACGCCAGCCTTTTGTCTAAACGGGCCCCATTTAGACAGATGATCTACAAACGCTGAGCAAGGAAGAGATCCATCCCCAGAGTGGTGAGAGTGCACGTGGCAGAAAGACCTAGCCAGAGAGGGTGAGTAGGAGGAGGAGGGAAAGGACGAGGCAGTAATTTAAGAGAAATTAAAACGTTAGAGTATTCCCCTCTGTTGTGCCACCTCAGTCTTAGAACCAGAACAAGTTCTGGTAGGAAATGCAGATTGTCTAAAACGTATCACAGACTTGTTGTTGTTCGGCTGAATTAGTCATATCAAAGAAGAAAATTAGGTTTCACAAAAGCTGCCAGTTTGTTCCTCTTTAGAATTTTATGCAATTTCAAGAGCTCTAAAAGAAATGCTCAGAAGTGAAATGCATTGGTTTGGATCAGAGAAAATGTTGAGTTCGAGCCCAAATTAATGGTCGTTTTTGACAGTAAATTAGACGTTCACTTACTTACGTAGCTTTAAACAGTCTTAGCATCCCTCTGTGCTGACAGCCTTAGCACCCCATCCTGCTCGCAGAACTATTCCCAACCTCCCATTTTCTTCAGCGCAACATTTCGCATTGTGAAATTATCTCCCTAATTCAACTTAAAAATTTAAATACTTCCCTATATTTACTCTTCGATAGTCCCGAAATTTCAAAAAGTATCCCCCAAAACCTTTTCAGGCTACCCAAAAAGTACTTCAGCGTGTTTTTTCCGATTGGCAGCGAACCATGAAATCCATTATCTGTACGGTTGTAGCCAGAAAGGCAAGTTGGTTTAGAAGTCTTTAAATAAGATTATAGCTGCCAGAGATGCTCTGACCCTCAGCAGCTGCAAACAGCCTCTAGGGCCCCCTCTGGCAGGTCCCAGTCTGTTCTCTATAGCACAAATGTCATCCCACTCTGGTCCTTTACTGGCCCCGGAGGAGACGGCATGTCTGAGCTGCTCAGCCTCTGCTTTCTTCCGGGCTTTTCCAGCAGCGGAGCTGATGCCGGGGAGCTTCTGGGGTTTGGGTTTGGTTTTTCAAGCTGAAAGGAGACATTTCATGAATCCATCTTTGCGTTTCAGCCAAAACTGAAAAAAAGGTTGGAACTAATTCCAACTAGCTAGTTATCCATGCCGACAAATAAATCCCCCCCACCCAGCTGCCTTGGGCAGAGGGGCTTGCAGGAGCCAGGCCTGGTTCTTGAAGAGCTCAGCCCACGCCCCTTCGCACTGCAGTGGTGGCTTAGCAAGAAGGCTTGACCCTACTTGGGTCTGGTTTTGGGAAAACTGTGGAAGGTTCCTTAAAAAGCCAACCAGCCATCCAAATGAAGACTGCTCTCATCCCTCTCAGATGCAGTAAAAAAGACAAAAGGCCTGATTCTCAGCTGTTAAAAAAGGAGAAGCTGTCGCAGTGGGTTAGGAGGAAAGGTGTCCTGTGTTGAAGACCTGAACCACGTGCTCAGGCTGATGTAAACGGGCAGATTGCCCTTAAAATCAACAAAGTAAGGGAGAACAATGGCTCCTGGGGTGGGCTCAGCTGAGACTATCGTGGGTCCTCCAGAAAATAAACAGCAGACAACTAAAGATCTTTGAAGGTTAATATATTGAGGGTTATGGTTTTCTGGAGGTTTTCATTTTTTTTTCTCCTCGTAAAAGGGAACAACAAACCATTTTGTACTCTGCAAAGGAGAATTCAGGTTCAATGTTCCTTGTCATTTTTAATAGAGGCAACTGTTTGGTATATTCCAGAGCTGGGACTTGGGGGGATCGGGTGAAAAGATGAACTGAACATCTGAAAGTAGCTTGCTTTCCCCAAATGACATCAGTAAAACATTCTGTACAACTTCAGAGGTTGCCTTCAAATATCATCCAAAACGGATCTTCCCCAGTGTCAAACGGCGTAGGAGACAGGTGTGGAATTTAGATGGAGAAAGGAGAACTGGATGATCACTGCAAATAAAAAAATACAATGAATGTAAATAATTCCTAAAATCTACTGGAAAAAAATAGGTAGCCCTGTAGGAGGAGCTGGCCGTGACGCTGACGGGACTGGTGACTGGGGGCACCCAGCTCGTGGCCTCTTGGCAGAACCTGGTTGAGATGGTGGATGTTCAGCAATTTTTTTTAAACCCCTCCCTGGCATGCAAAGCAAAATCCCGATTACCACCTGGTTTCTGTCAAACCAACGGCTTGATGCATTTATTCCAGAAAAGAGTAGTATTAGTGACAAATTGCTGACAGCAAAAGATTAAAAAGCTAAAACTGATGAATATCACCCCAAGTCCTGAGCTCTGCCTGCTTAAGCAATGACCTGAAAAATGTATGTGTTCAAACAAAGAGTGATTTCTACATTTAGCTCTAATTCTTGCAAAGGGACGAATCACCTTGTGAAAAGTGGAGCCTCACCCTCCACCCCCTCTTTCCAACTGGATATCAGACTTGAAGGCAACTTTTCCAGTGGACCAGACCTGCTCTTTAAACTTGTGGACCACCTAGTGACTTTGAGTGTGTCTGGAGCTCTTTCAATCCACTGCAAGAATAACTTTACCAGGACAAAACTCAAGAATAGATAGATCCATGACATGAGTTTCAGTCTGACCCTTGACTGGACCAGTTACTAACCATATGGACTACATCCTTCCACCTTTTGAAAGATCTGTACTCACTGAATCTCAGGACACCCTGTTGTTTGTTATTAGATGAAGAGCTCTGAATATTTGTAATAATATGTGCTGTGTTGCTTTGCATTGTATTTATTTTTTTTCTTCTAAAATAAAATAAATTATTTATTAAAAGTTATACTGGATGAAGAGCGTTTAAGAGTTCACCTGCTCTAGATGCTTATTCTTAACCTGAAATCTCATTCCTGAGGTTGTGATGCTGCGTCTACTCCGGAATAAACCAGTTATCATCTCGTAATCAAGCAGGACAGGAATAGTGACGAAGAGCAGATGAACTCTTAAAAGAAAAATTCACTTTTCAGTCCTCGTTTCATGCAAACGTCCCTAGCAAGTGGATTCCTCTCTCTTTAGCGTCTTCTGAAGGTCTTTGAGGTTCTTCTTTCCCCTCATTTAAACTGACAGCAACTACCCAACTCCGTGAGTAGCCCCAGTCTACACGGGCAGTGGTAGAGTTACACCACGTGAAGAAGAGTGGTGAAATCTGGCCTGGATGGGAGGTGAAATACGGAATGTCTGTGGTAGGTTGGTGGGCACGGAGATCTTTCAGGAACCTGGCCCTTTGGCTTGCATGACTAACCTGCTGGTGAGGGGGGCTGTGTTTTATGTGACAATCCAGTCCTAGTCTACACTGTGTTTGACAAACTGGTCCATGGTGTATAAGTAGTTCTGTTTGTAAATAAAATGATTTAAATTCATTTCGTACAACGTGGAGACCGTGAATTCAACCCTTGAAAAATGGAGGGTGTTGCAGGGAAGGGGATACCGCGTTGTCCTTGGCTCGTTGCAGCTGGGCTTCCGTGCGAGGCGGCGTTAAGACAGCAGCGTGCATCCAGCTGTACGTGGGCTGTTTGGGATGAGCCGACACCAATTTTCTCCTTTCTTTCCTTGGCTTTTTGGTCAACTTAGCTCGGCCTCTTAGTCCTGTGTTGGCAAGTGATTCGAATTCCTGCCTATGTCCGTTTTCAGCTCTGTGTGAATGAAGGAGAAGGGAAAAGGGGAGATTTTCCCTGAAACAAGAATAAAAGTTGTCTCATTGCTGGCAGGAGGTCAAGTTTTTTTGATGCAGGGGGGACCCCACAGCACATATCTCCGGGGTCCGTGCCGCAGCGGTGCACACAAAACCCAGCGCTGGGGGCCGGTCGCTGCACAGCGAGGTGTAGCCTGGATCCTCTTGTTTGCTCCTGGGTCTCAGTTGTGCCTTTTCCTGCAGGGAATTGCTCATTTCTATTGCAGAGCCTCGGGAGATACTCACACACGTCTCCTCTGCGGAGCTGAGCCCAGTGAAATTACCCGTGGCTGTGGTGATGCGAGCCAGGCAGCTCTGGACCGAAGCTTGGGAACAGTTGTTTTGCAGCCCTTTGGCACAGAAGTTGGAATTTTTTTTTGTCCCAAAACCAGCTGGTTTGCGGACCCGATTTTTTACAAAATTGGTTTCTGCCTCACGCCGCTTTAAGTCCTTCGGCACTGGATGAGCAGGAGTGTGCGACGTGCTGTAAGTCATGCTCGAGAGATGGGAATTAAAGCTCCTGTGTGTTCTCCAGGTGTTTCTTGGGAAGTTTTGCTGCCGGCTCTGCAGCGCGCGAGGTGGCTTTTGAGTAAAACTGCTGATGTTGTGTTAGGGGAGCAGGTGGCTTAGGGACTGTTGTCTTCTGGCCCGTCTTTGCGGAGGTAAAAGACCTCCTGGAAGTGGTTTTTTCCACCTCTCTAAGGAGTTTCCATGCTTTTGGCACAGGAAAGGATTTGATATTCCAAAAGAAAAAAAAAAATAGACTGGATCCCCTGGTGAGCAGCTAATGGCTTGAAACCAGAAACTCCTTTTTGTTCCTTCTCTCCTGTAAATCAATGAGGCGCTCCTCAAGGATATTGAGTTAAGGGGATACTATAAGGGGAAAAAAAAACCCTGTGTAGTGAGTGGTTTTTTTATTAGACCGATGGAGTGGCGTGTGAAACTCCAAGACATACATGCCTTTTTCGTACTTTCAGGGTGTTTTTTTCTGCATAACATGCAGGAGTATCAGAAATGATACATCTGTGAAGTACATGGTGCTGGGTTTCCAAAAGAGCTCCTGGGAAAAGAAAAAACCCTGAATTTTCAAGAATCGCCATCAGAACAGCATCCAGCAGGCGAAAGATAGATGTTGGCTCTTTTAAAAATCAGGTCCTATACCGGGTTGGTTTTTTGGGGGTGGGGTTTTTTTTTTGATCTTTGGTGCGAACTTCCAACTGTGCTGTGTACATAAAATAAATTGCATGTGACAATAGCATTACTACATTTTCCTTCATTATTAAGACGGCTTGCTGAACTAGTTTCACAATTCAGTGGAGGCAGAAATGAAAGCATGCCCCCCTGAGAAGGTCGGCACCTTTCGCCTTTTCTCTGTCAGGTAAGGAGCATCGTTGATGTGTCTCATTGACCTCCCTTGCTCTGTGCCCCTTACGTCGTGATTTCCCCTATGCATTGGTGAGGTTGCCAAAAAAAAGAAGAGTACGGTAACGGAATGAAGTGTTTAGCCTGGAGCAGAAAATCTGGTATTTTCCAAATCAAAAGCTGAAGGTGTGTGACAGTCCTTGGAGACCAACAGATCTAGCTTTTGGCTCCAACCAGCTTATGTGTTAACGTATCAACCTTCACTCAGGATTGCTTTTTATCCAAAGCAATGTTCGTCTGTGTAATTTTTGGATGTGGATGGCTGGTTGTATTCGCAAAGGAGTCTCTGTCCGGAATGTGAGGCTGCTGAGAGAGGTGCACCTCCGTGGGTAGCTCACACAACGCTACCCCAGTGTTTTGCTGGTCGCTGCACATGTTCACCTGCGCTCGCAGCCGTGCTCTGAGCTGTAGGACAGGTTTGCAATGTCGCTCGGGTGACCATTGGGCTCCCAGGTGTTGCTGGCGGTCCCCAGCCCTTGCACGCGCTGGCCCTGCTAGCGTGGTTTCCAAAAAGCACCTGAGTGTTTGAGGAGGTCGCGTCCCTCTGGCTTTCAGCGGAGAGCTTTCTCCTACGAGACTTGCACGCAGGGTGTCAGCAGCTCTGGGATTGGTGCGTGTATTGGCAAGACCGTAGAGCCCTACGCTGAAAACGTGCTTTTTTCAGTCCAGCCTGGAGGTAGAGAGCAAGGGGCTGATGTTTGTCTAGTGGAAGTTTTCAGACAAAGTGCCAAGTCTCTAAGTCGAACTGCTTCTCTGTCATTCTCTGTGTCTTGTGTTGAAAACACGGATGCACCTGTCTTGATGTTTCTGCTGGGCTTTTATTCCTACAATTTCTTTGGGTTAACTTTTTCTCCTATCAAGAAATTCCTAGTTATACTGTGCCATAACCCTTGGCCTTACCTGGCTTTAGATGTGCCATTGATCACTCAAGGTCCTGCTGTAGTATCTCCAGGGAACGGCTTATCCCACCCCTGTCTTTGGATGGGATAAATTGTCCCCTGGAATTGCCTCCTTCACGCCATCAACATGAACCTAACTTTAGAGGTCGTGAGAAAACAATCTTTCTTCCTAATTCTGCATTTCACATAAATTATCTTATTTTACAGCTTTCCTGTAATGGCAACCCAGTAGATGAACTCAACACAAATGCCTTTGGCTTGTAGTATTTACCCCCCAAAAAATTCAAACGTGGGTTTATGGGAAGGTTCACAAAGGCCCAGAGGGAATTCGCGTTGTCGGTTCCTGTTGACTTTAGGGGTCGTCGGGGCGGTGGCCGTGCTCAAGGCTTTTGCAGTTCTGCTCACTGTAGGAGCTGGTTCTAGGATTGAAGTTGGTGTATCTTTGGCTTTGCCTTGTCCGAAGAGGAAGGAAGCGTGGATTGACCTCACTCCTCACTGCTCGTACCCGAGATCAAATACCGGCTTCTCCCAGGAGAAGAGGAAACTGCAACGCAGGCTGTCTTACATGGCTTTTCTCTTGGAAATAGGACATTTCCCGCCCAGCAGAGTCCTAGGCCGAAGGTGATGCTGACACTTCGCTGTCCGGCTTCTCTTCTTGGCCAGCGAGGTGATCTCGGTCAAATCGCATCACCTAACGCTGTCAGCCATTAAAAAATTTAAATAAAAACATGGGGAAATTTAAACTTGCCAACTAAACTTGGCTTTGGGAGCCTCCAGCGGTAAGAGGTGGGCGCTGGCAGCAGCGTCGGCGCGTGCGGCACGCGGTGTACGCGGCGGCGTGTGCCTGAGAGGTCCCTGGAACCAACGTCTGCTTTCTCCCACAGGGATTTGAGGCGGCTGGGAGTGACACTTGTTGGTCACCAGAAGAAGATAATGAACAGCCTTCAAGAGATGAAAGTCCAGTTGGTGAATGGGATGGTGCCGTTGTAACTCGGTTTTAAAGTCGCCTCCTCAAGTGGGTCGGTCCTGCACTTTGTACACTAGCCCTGAGATTTATTTTGACTAACAAAAAAAAGAAGAAAAAAGGGAAATTCAGTGGTTTCTATAACTGAAGGACGTTGGCCTCTGCCGCGGCGTTTCTAAAGCAGTGTTTTGACTAAAGTTTTCCTTTTCTTCCTATTTGTGTCCTCATTTTCATGAAGTCAATGTAAGATGCATGGAACATGGAAACGAATCTGCTGTACGTGAGGTTAACCCGTCTCTTAAGCTTCAGCGATGACGACAACAAGCCTTCCCACCACATGTTGTCTGTACATGGGATATACATATATATATATAGCACCTTTATATACTGAATTCCGGCAGCACACGGTAGTACTTCCAAGGACTGACTTGAGCGGAGGAGTTTTGTAGCCGTTCATGGGCTCCCAAAAGCTGCGGTTTACTGAAGTTTAACTTCGAGTCTTACTTGTCTACAGAAGTGTATTGAAGAGCAATATGATTAGATTATTTCTTGATAGATATTTTGTTTTGTAAATTTAAAGAAAGGAAACGAAACCAATGCTGTTACACAGCATTCAGTTCTAGAGACTAGTGTATAAACATGTTGCTTGCTCCATGGCAAATACAATACAGGGTGTATATTATTTTTTGTTTCCTCCTTCTGTGTTACCAAGTTCTTTCCCTTTGCTCTTCTGGGAGGATAATACGTGATGGAGATGTATATACTGTACAGTTTGCTACGCATCAGGTACAAGATTGGGTCTCTTTCCTGGGTTTGTTCTCCCCCACCCCCATCTTTCGCTTTGTTTTGTTTCCCTTTTGTGTTACCGCGATGCTTTGTGGTTTTGCTGCTGTTTGGGTTGAGCGACATATAAAGCCGTCAGAAGGTTTGATTATGTATATGAGGTAGAAGGAGTCTGCTTATACGAAAGGTGTCACCCCCCTCTTCCTTTCCACCGCGGGCTGGGGACGTCCAGAAGAAGAAAAGTAAAGCATCTGGTTTTGGGTGGCTTCCGGCGACAACGCGGCATCGAGTCCTGCCCCAAGATAGCACGGGATTGCCTCCGCACCGCCGCTTTAGCCTTGTAGCCATCACCCAGCGCAGCCTTGTCCCTGTCCCTGGAGCCCAGGAAAGAAACCACAAGGAGTTTTTAGCTGGAAGGAAGGGATTTTGCTGTTCCCTTTCCCACTGCGGGGGTTATGTCCTGGGGTGTGGCGCGGAGGCCAGCCCGTGGTCATCCCGCTTGGAGATTCTGCAGAATCCCCCAAAGTGGTGGTGGTGTTTGGATTATTTTGGGAACGGTGCTGTCCCAGGTTGTCTCTCTGGGAATTTTCAGTTTGGGTATGGACCTGGGCACTTTGGGGCAGAGAGGAGGGAAAAGGGAAGAGTGGAGCTGCCTCACGTGGTCATGGCGGTGGCATCCCGTGGGTGAGAATGTCCCATCCATCTGGGCCGGCATGGCTTGGTTGGAGCTGGGGTTCAATGTGTCCATTAAAGATCGCAGCTGCTGTTTCCAGGGAGACTAGAGGGCAGCCCAATCCCTTGGAAGTCCCACCAAAAAAAACAGTTTGGGGCTGTCCTCGGCCTTTTGTTGTAGATAGGATTAATCCGTGCGGATAATTTGGTATTCATAGGTTGGCCTTGCTTTTGTGAAGGCTGTGGAAAAGATAAGGATGTAAAGAATGGCTCAGCCGATGGCAAGTGTTCGCTGTCTCTGTAGATACATCGCTTCCGTAGAGGTTGGGTAGCATCTTGCAGCATCCTTCCTTGGCGATGAGGTCAACGTACCGACGTGCCGCAGCTCTTCTCGTCCCCGGTGCTGCAAAACCGAGCCCGAGGAGCTCGTCCAGAGCCGAAAGCAGGTCTGTGTCCTTCCATCTTGCATAGTAGGTGTCAAATGCCACCTTTTCCAAAGGTTTCTTCCATTTCCCTCGAGGCTTTGGATGAGATTTGGTACAAAGAATGGGTTCTAAAGAAAAGGGAAAGGTCTAGGAGGAGAGGGTTGGGTGATTTTTTTTTTCCTTAGCAGCGGGGCTTCGCTTGCGCTGAGCTGGGCTTCTCTGGGCCCTTTTTGCCTGTTCTGAAACGGCCGCCTCTGCCAGCCGCTGCCCGGCTCCTCGGGAATCAGGAGAAATAGGAGGGAGAGGAGCCACGGCGAGATCTGATAAATCTCGATGGTGTGATTTCTCATCCTGTTGTTTCATTTTGGCAGCCACCAGACCACAGCAGAGGAGGGAGGGGGGGAATCAAGACATAACAATTTCGGCACGGGAAAGAGATTTGTCATATAATAAGTAAGATTATTAGAGCTGTCAGCAGAACAGTCTTGGGATTATTTGTGCCTCCCTGCCTGCAGCGCTTGGGAAAACAACCCGTAGGAAGAGAGAAACAACTCGTTTCGCCGGGAGGAATCACTCGGTTGCCGCCTGCACGCGTCGGCTGCGCCAAGAGAGATGCTGTTAGCAAACAGGCAGCACTTCCTGCCCGTCATCTCCGCTCGTTCCTTACCTGTTGGCTCTGTGGGAGGGGTTGGGGCTGGTCTTTTTTTCACGGACTTTTTAACAGCCAAATCTCCTTTTCACCATTTGTGGGGTTTTAAAGGCGTATGGGGTATGGGTGGGAGGCGTGCCAGGTGCTGGAGTAACCTTCAAAACGATAAACCAGTGGAAAACACACTGTTCTTACGGCAGACTGCGTTTGTAAATAGGGCACCTCTTTCGGTTCCTCCAATAAATAAATAAATAACTTTTTCTATTTATTTCAAGAGCTGTTCTTGCTACAGATCTCTGTATAATAGGCTTTGTCTCGGAGCTAAAAATAAAATAAATCGGTGTTTTAACGAGTAGGGTCCAAAAGTTACAGCTTCGATGTCCACAAGAAAATTCCACAGACGACGGAGGTTTTCGGTTCCCCATCCAAGAACTGCAAGTGGTCTGCATTTTGGGCACGATCGTCTCTTTTGGGTGCGACAGAACGAGGCGACGGTCGCGTTTTCACCGTTGGCGTGCTTTGGAGGGGCTGCAGCTGGATTGCCTGCCTGCGGTAAGTCCGAGCGTCCTGCTTTTCCCCGCTCGCTGCTGCTGTGCCTGGTCTGACAAGGACTTTTCCTCCGGTATGTTGCGCTGCTAACGGCGAGGAAGGCGTTTCCAAGGACCTGGGAGGTGAAAAGGCTCTTCTCGATATAGTTTTTCATTGTGGGAGAAGGAATTGTGCCCAGGCTTGTGTAGACTGACCCCCCCTTCCATCGTGTAGCTACCATTTGGAGAAACCACCTGAGCATAAAAAAGGAAGACTGATTTAAAAGAAGAAAAATTAGTAAATCAGTTTAAAATGTTATTTATTCCTTCTATATGTTAATGGCAAGAGAAAAAATGAAGGTAAATTTTTTTTCCTGTCTATTCAGTGTTGAATATAACGTAGAAAGTCCCAGCGGTCAAGAAATTGTGACTCCTTGGACTGCTGTGGTCTTGAGATTAGATGTTAAGGCGTATGTAAGGGGCCTCAGTAGCAGTTTTAAGAGTAACGCTTAAGATTCCAAACCCTTTATTGTAATTCCTTAGGGCAGGTGGGCCGGGAGCTGGTGCCCCCGGCGCTGCCGGAGCCGCAGCATCCGCCTCAGCTCCTCGCATCGGCGTTTTTGACTCGTAGGAGACTGTAGCACTGCTGTATTTATGCCTCCCCTTCCCCCACCCCACCCCTCCTCTGTGCGTTTTCTTTGTGTACATGGGGTTTTTTTGTAGTGTAAGATACGAAATTTTCTATTTTTTCATAAAAATAAAAACCTTTGACTAACAGCGACATCCGGTTGTGGATCG